CTGGGATTACAAACAATGTACCACTATGCCTGGCCAGATTTGCTTTTATTGGTACTAAGTAGATTCACCTTTGGGTACACTTTTGTTTATTCGAAGAGCAGGTGAACAGGTGAGTAAGCAGTAGGAGGATCCCAGTGACTTGGGCAGTATGAGGAAGCCTCCTGGGAGGCCCAGGCAGTGAAGTGGGAAACAGTAGATAAACTTGTTATTCAGCACAGTTTGACCTCCTAGCACCAGATTAGGGATTCTCAATATAGCTCTTCAGTCACCTGTGGAGTTCAAAATGCAGTCACCCAGGTTTCCCCCAGTTTGAGGCTTTAGTAGCTCTGGGATAGGGTCTAGAAGCTCCATAGGAATTTCAAGGCTCAGCCAGAGCTCAGCACCACTCATAAGGTACTTGGTCCTGTAAAAGGAGTGAGTCCCCTTTTTCCTTCCCTCTATGTGGACTCAGTGAAAAGATGCTGTAGAACCAGGAAGCAGGCCCTCACCAGACATGGAACCTGCCAGTACCTTGATCTTGGGCTTCCCAGCTTCTAGCACCAGGGGAAATAAATTTCCTTTGTTTATAGGCCACCCAGTTTATGCTATTTGTTATAGCAGCCTAAATAGATTAAGACAGGCAGAAAACTTAGCAGGTATATTAATAAACACAAAGGAGGATGAATCAGGAAGGATTTCCCGAAAAGGAAACATTGACCTTGGAGTCTCCAGGTGGGACATTGGGCACAGTGGTGGAATAGAGAAGTCTTGGGAGTGGGTCATGGATGGGTGAGTCAGGAAAAACCCATAGATCCCAGGAAGGACCTTAGTGTTATACTCAGGAGGCATTGTTTTTTTTTCTTAAGCTGCTGAAAGAGAAAGAATAGAACTTGTTTAATGAAGTTTAATCAGTTTCTGTCTTTCACAGTTTCTGAATATTTGTTATTTCAGAAAGCATTTATTTTTCTTTTCTAGGTCTTTATATCTTTATTATTTGAGTTGTCTAGCTCTGAGACCTACATATTGACTTCCTTAGGTCCAGCCCAAAGAGGCATTAGAGGCACCTGCATTAGAGGCATCCTTTGTTAATCATACAGCCTTGCCAGGTCTGCTTCTCCCACTATAAAGCAGGCGTAATAGGTGCCGCTCTAGGTGCTGAGAGGGTTGATTAAGAGTGGGGATGTGGCTCAAGCGGTAGTGCGCTCGCCTGACATGCGTGCAGCCCAGGTTCGATCCTCAGTACCACATACAAACAAAGATGTTGTGTCCTCTGAAAAACTAAAAAATGAATATTTTAAAAAAAAAAGAGTGGGATGTGGCCAGGAGCAGTGGCACATGCCTGTAATCCCAGTGGTTTAGGAAGCTGAGGCAAGAGGATTGCAAGTTCAAGGCCAGCCTCAGAAACTTAGTGAGGACCTAAGCAACTTCGACCCTGTCTCTAAATAATTTATTTTTTAAAGGCTAAGGATGAGGAATGGGGTTGTAGCTCAATAGTAGAGGACTTGCCTAGCATGTATGAGGCACTGGGTTTGATTTCTCAGCACTACATAAAAGTGGGGGGGAAAAAAAAAGGTCTGTCAAGAACTAAAAAAATACATGTGACTCAGTGGTAAAGTGCCCTTGGTTCAATCCCTAATGCAAAAAAAAAGAAGAAGAAGAATGGTGATGTGGAAGAGCTTTGGAAACAAGTTGCTCTTCAGTTGAGTGGGGTTTTGATATTTTGGAGATAGTTTTTTTTTTTAAGAGAGAATTTTTTAATATTTATTTTTCAGTTTTCAGCGGACACAACATCTTTGTTGGTATGTGGTGCTGAGGATCGAACCTGGGCCTTACACATGCCAGGCGAGCGCTCTACCGCTTGAGCCACATCCCCAGCCCCTGGAGATAGTTTCTTATTTGACTGGTGTTGTCTGAGGTTATTGTCCAAAAAGATCTCTCAAAACACCTGATTTTGGGGGCTGGGGATATGGCTCAGTTGGTAGAGTGCTTGCTTTGCATGCACAAGGCCCTGGGTTCAATCCTCAGCACTACAAGAAAACAAACAAACCCCACTGATTTTGGGAGTAAAGCAGACTTAACTAATGGTGAAAATCCAAACCCTCTTTCTTTATTTTGTTTATGATACAAAGTTAAAAGGCAAGAAGTAGGAAGGAAGTCATTACTTTCTGTTGGATTAATTATTGACTCAAATGCAGGCAAGAAGCAGCTTTCTGGTTTCTGTAGGATCTGCTCTATTCCCAGATTCCCAGGCTTTCCTCCATGGGCCACTGGTGATATTCAGATCCACTTACTGTTACAGTTTGTATTTGCAGGCTCAGTGCCAGACCAGGAGTTGGAGGTGTCCGATCTCGAGTTGGAATCCAGCAGAACCTTCTCAGCCAGCCAGCACGCACAGCCACCTTCCAGCAGAGATTTGATGCCCGGCAGAAGATAGGCCTCTCAGATGCCAGGCTCAAGCTGGGAGTCAAAGATGCTCGGGAGAAACTTTTGCAGAAAGATGCACGGTTTCGGATCAAAGGGAAAGTGCAGGATGCCAGAGAGATGCTGAACTCTCGCAAGCAGCAGAGCACGGTGCCACAAAAGCCTCGCCAAGTGGCTGATGCCCGGGAGAAGATTAGCTTGAGGAGGAGTTCTCCTGATGCCTTCACAAGCCCACCCATTGGGACAGTGACGCCTGCTCTGAAGCTCACCAAAACCATCCAGGTAGGTTATGACTGCTGTCATGAACTCGGAAGACAGGCAGATTTAGGCAGGAAGATTGTGCAGGGAGAGGGGATTGGGCAAAAGTGTTGGTACAGCCCTTGGCTGTTTACAAAGGTTTTCTGTGTACATTATAGCCAAGCAAACATGAGAAAGGCATGAAGTGACTTTCTTAAGTGAAAAATAGTAGAGGGAAGAGCAGGGAAAGGATGAAACATTTTGACCATGTGCTATGCACAGGCACCTAGTGTATTTGATCTTATATATTCCTCACTCCAACTTTAGGACTATTTCCCCAGTTTTATTAAAGTGAATCTGAATCTCAGAGATGAAATACCATGTCCAACATTACACAGCCAGTAGTGGAAGGACCAGAGTAGAAGCCCAGTCAGATCTGGCTGCCAATCAAGGGTCACCCCTCCAAAGGAAACAATGTCATTTAATGTCTTGGCTTTGGTAATAGGCATAATGACAGCAGACATTGATGGAGCCAAGTTTAATAAAGCCCTGCACTTGCATTACTGCATGGGGATGCCTTATTACTTGGGAGCAAGGCACTCTAGTCCTACCAGAGACCCAAACTGCATGCCTACTGTATTTAAATTCAGTGACCTCATACTCACAGGATGTTCATGAACCCTATGGGATAGATTGTGATCACTGAGTGTTTCTAGGTTCCACAGCAGAAGGCCATGGTGCCACTTCATGCCCATCCAGCTGGAATGAGGATCAATGTTGTCAATAACCACCAGGCCAAACAGGTAGAGAGAGAGAAAGCGTGTGTGTGTGTGTGTGTGTGTGTGTGTGTGTGTGTGTGTGTGTGTGTATGTGTATGTGTACACGCACGCACACATATCTTGATGACGCTAATGGGTGGATTGGCTGGGGCCAGGCCCAGAGACATTTGACTTTTTGTAATTTGAGAGTTTTAACAAAAAATTTTTTAGTGAGGGGGATAATTTGCACACACAAAATAATGTTTTTCATGTTCCTATTCTCCAGAGTCAGCCACTGTTGAAATTTGGTCATAGATTTTTGGGGTTTTTGTTTGTTTGTTTTTAAGATTCCTGCTTTTTTGTGTGTGTTTGTGTTGTTTTACATTTAACACTAGTTGTAGTTGCAATTTTATTCTTAAGTTTGTGCCCTTTTTTATTTTAACTCAAGCATTTTCTGTTTTCACATTAAGTGTAAACATTTTTCATAACTGCTCAATTCATTGAGTTGACGTTTATTTGTTTGGACATTTTATTCAGACCATTTTCCCTGTTAAAAATCCCAACAGTAGGCATTGTTGGGATAGGGTTTGAGTTTTCTACTGTTGGCCAAATTATCCAGAATGGACTTTCCAAAGCAAAGGATATACTGTCATGTGATGCTTAGTGACATTTGGGTCAGTATTGGGGTGCATAGGTGTGTAGTTGGATGGTTGTGGAAGTATGCTCTGTGATGTTCACACAACAACAAAATCACCTAATAATTCATTACTCAGAGCATATCCCTGTCATTGAGATACATGAGTGTAAACAAACATTTTAGAGATTTTTTTTCCCTCCCTCCTGTACTGGGTCTCATTTAGTTGCTGAGAGCCTTATTTAGTTGCTGGGGCTGACCTCAAACTTGAAATCTCCTATTTCAGCCCCCTAAGTTTCTGGAATTACTGATAGGTACCCACATGCCTGGCTAATTTAGGGATTCTTGAGGGGTATTATGAACTTATGAAAATGTATTTCTGATGTACATGGAGCATTTTTAATTGGGCCTCATTAGTAGAAGTCACCCTGTCAGGACTTGAACCCTAGACTCCAAGGCCAGTCTCTCCAGGCACCACTACCGCCATGCCCACCTTTTCCCTTGATCTTTCATTTAATGCTGGGGCTGGATGTCTTTTATGGACCTGCATGTTACATTAGCTTATATTTCTTTATTCTCAGAATTTATATGACCTGGATGAAGATGATGATGTCATAGCACCCGTTCCTACTAAGCAGATGAAGTTTTCACCCTCCAGCAGCTTTCACCACCACATGGTATGGCATTGTTTCTTTTTCTGTCACTGTATGTGTCTGATCTGGTGGACAGCAGAGATTGAGGATAACAGGGTCTTTCAATGATTTGGGTTGTAAGATTCTCAGAGCTGGAATTGGTCCAGCCATTTGCTTTTTAAAAAATTGGATACAGGCTGTGTCCAGGGATTTGCTCAAGGTCCCACCGCAGGTGGAGTGCAGAGCTGCAGTTCCAGGCACTGTGTTTGAGACACTCAAGGGAAAGTCTGTTACCTGCTACTGTAGCAGAATACTACAGACTGGGTGAATTTTAAATAATGGATATTTACTCTGCTCACAGTTATGGAGGCCAGGAAGTCTAAAACTGAGGGGCTGTACAGGGCAAGGGCCTTCTTGCTGAGTCATCAGAGAATAAGCAAGCATGCCCTAGACAGAGATCAGGCCGCATTTATTCTTTAACCAGGAGCATCATCCCTAAGATAGCAAAATCCACTCCTATGAGGTTGGCCTTAATCTAATCATGAGAACGGTTTCCTGGTAGCCAAAACAATTCTTAAGGTCCCACCTATTAATGCTGTTATGAAAATTCAACATCAGTTTTGGAGAGGACATTCGAATCATAGTATCAATCCCACAGGAGGGAATCCCTTTTCTTTCCTTGGTACTCCTTGACCTTGATCTTAGATTCTGGATTCCCTGGGTTGGTGTCAGTGTTACCGCTGTTAACCGGTGACGAGTCCTTGCTTCCCCGATGTTGAAGAATAACACCAAAGAAGCACGCCGAGGCAA